TGTGTGTGTATACATAAATACCTATGCAAATCACGAAAGTAACAAATCATAGTTTCAGATGAACCTTTTAAAAGAGAACCTGATCTTTAAGACCAATTACTGATCCCTCCAGTTAGTTTACAAACACTGTAAACATCACCTATAAAAGCTGAAAATCACTTTTTATTCTTAAGCATTCTGTAAAACAGTTCCTAAGAGACCGTTATTAGTCATAACACTGACTTTATTTATTTTTTCAGTCTTCATTTCAGAGCAAAAAGAGGATTTCCCCTGGGCTGGCAACAGGGTAGGTGAGGAAATGGGAGGCTTTCCCGGGGAGGTCACAGGTAGGCGCAGAGAAAGGGAGACTGCAGGGCCAACCCAGCAGGTTCCCACATGACAAAGTGGATCCGTCTGCAGCCCCACGAACATGGCTTCACTCCCACCCCTCCCTGAACCGCAGGACAGAGGGCAACCTTAGGGACACGACACTCGGCACCACTGGCACAAAATCCTGAGAGGCGTCATGACTGTGCCACAAGGGAGCGTGGGTCCCAAGTGAGGGCTAGTGGCACATGAATGGGGGGCTGAGGGGCATGAAATTGGTGAAACCCCAGAACCCAGAGGGGCTGTTTGGCCTTGGCTCTGCCTCCACTGTGACTTACAGCAGGCACCAGTGGCCGAGTCTTTTCCCTGTGGTGCCTGCTGTGGCTGTGTGGAAGCCACCATGCAGCACGCGCCCTGCCCACCCTGCCCCTCTGCAGCCCTCCCGGGGCCCCTGCTCCTCCCCCGCCCTGGAGTTTACTCATTGCTTCTCCTAGGCCTCACATCAGCACCCCGTGTACCCCCAATCTCTGGAGAAATTCACGTCTGTGCTGGAAATTCTAAATTACCCAAAGATCTGCAAGCATCTGAGACGAGCCCGTTCACCTTCTCAGCTGCAGGCTTCCTCGCTCCAGCAGTCAGGCAGCTTCTCCGCAGCCCCAGGGCCATGCTCCCAGAAGAGAACTGGAATTCTCACGAGAAGCCCGCTACTCAGGGCCACAGCCAGGGGAGAAAGTAAAGGGAGAAGTCCCCCAGTTCATTCACCAGCCAGTTTTATTTACTCACAAGAACAAATCCAAAGCCCAGGGCAGCAGCTCTGAGCTCAGGCCTGCCCTGCCCCGTTTTGTGGGCCTGTACTTGAAACACTGAACGTGACGTGTCCTTCACTCACCCGCAGAACTTTAATCCCCACAACAGCCCTGTGAGGTAGGAATCACCACGCTTCCCCCCGACTCAGGTTACAGATGGGGAAACTGAGACACACATTCAACAGAGCGCGCATCACATGGGGAGTTCAGGGTTAGCCTGGAGTATGAACACATGTTCTTCCCACAGCCCAGTCAGCGGCCCACCTGGCCTCTTCCCCTTCCTTTGGTGACCCCATCAGCAGCAGCATAAAAATCTAACCCTTCCTTTTGCTGAAAGCCCCTGCAGATGACAGTTTCCTTTCTATCATGTCTGCAGAGCTCCAAGGCTGGGGGCAATGTTGAGGCTGAAGCCAGCCACGGTGCCTCAGCTGTGCCTTTCCTGGAGAGCGGGTGGCCACCCCCAGCACATCCCTGGCACACAGGCTTGCATAACAGACTCTTGTCCCGCCATCCCTAGCACAAGAACATGGCCACATCTCCCCAACCGCTCAGCCCGCACAGCGTGCACAGGTGGGGAGTTCACTTTAATGGCATTCCTCCAACGACTTATTGTAAAAGAAACAAGGCATCTCGTCCTGGGTCGTGACACCCAGCAGCATCCGTTCAGACCACCAAGGGCAGGCTGCGCCGGGTGCACAGGGATCCCGCTGCAGCTCGGCGAAAGCCGGAGTCCTGGGATGCAGAGCAGCCCGGGGAGCCCTGGAGTCTGGAAAGGACACAGCAGTGGGGGCCGCGGTGGCAACTCCAGCTCCGAACCCGTCGGCACTCCGCATGGTGGCCCCAGCCAGCTGGAGGCAGGCTCAGGAGCGGCTCCTGTCCTCGTGGTTCCCCACGATCATCTTGCTGTACAGCTTCTGCTGCTCCTCCTTGAACGTGTCCTTCACCTTCTCCCTCTTCAGGCCCCCATCCCTGGAGAGACAAAGGCTGGATGTAGTAACAGCCAAGAAGGTTCCCAGGCACCCTCACACCATGGGAGATGCACCGTGCTGCCCAAATACCAAGAAAAACCTGCCAGAAACAGGGTACCCTGTGGCACTCTCACCAAGACAACCTCAGGGGATCTGGGGCTCTGGGCTCCCAATATTCACCCTTTCTATCTCAAAAGGTCCACTCTTGCCCTGGAGTAAGAATTTACTACTCACATTGAAAGTACTTGGTAACTGCTTAAACCTACCAAGGAGTTTACAATTCTTTCTACTCTAACATTCATCTTCACCTCACAAAGGAAAAGGAGGAATTCTGGCATTACGGAAGGTAGACATGCTTCCAAAATATCGACTCATAACATATCTGTAGTATCGATCTGTAAAATGTCATTTGTTTAATTCAGACCCAGGGATACTCCGAATTCATGCAGAGAGCTAACACAAGGGGTAACGCATGTTCTGACTTCTTCCATGCTCAAAAAAGAGTGCCGTCAGGAATGGAGGGTTATCTCCGGGGCTGCCTCTCAGAGTCCCAACCTCACTGCCCCAGTGCCTCCCTGCAGCAGCCCCAAACCAACCCACCAGACTTGGGGTTGTTTCGTTACAGTCCCATTCCCTCTTGCCTGCTGGTCCCCTCTGTGCCTACACTCTAGAATTATCACCACCTTCAACAACTTACAAAAATCCAAGCCCGCTTTCAGTCTCTCCACTACACCCTTTAAAATCCATAGCAAAGGCATGGTTTTTAAAAGCAGCCACTCTGTCTTTCTTAGAGATGGGAAGATGGGGCAGAAGTTAAACCTTGAAGCTCTAAAAGTCTGTTAGATGTGGATGCAAAATCTAGCTCCAGTGCTAATGTTATGACTTTGGAAAAAAGTGATTTAACCTGAGTATCAGTTTCTCATCTGTAAAATGGGAACACTGTTTACAGGGCTGCAGCTACTGTGAGGGTGAAAGAGATGCTCACACAGGGCCCCAGAAGCTCGGTGGCTGGCACACAGTGAGTGCACAATCCACGCTAGCATTTTTTAAAAGGCCATGATCTGAGAGCCAATCTAATCCCTGAGACTATACAGTTGGGTTTACAATGTGAATTTCTACCCTTTCTTTTCTCATAGATAATGCCCATCTAAGTCAAATGCTCTCCCCAGTTGACCCTTGGCTCTTAAACCTAAGTGACCCACAGAGTGGAAAAGTTTCTCTGAACCAGCATTCACCTCTGGTCACTCTCCTACTGTTTGGGATAAAACTATCTTATACTCTAGTATAAGGGCTGGTCAAATGCAGCCCATGGGCCACATCCAGCTGATACCTGTTTTTGTAAATAAAGTTTTATTGGAACACAGCCATGCTCATTGGTTTATAGACTATCTGTTTTCACACTACAATGGCAGAGATCAGTAGCGCCAACAGACACCACATGGCCTGCAAACCCTAAAATATTTACTGACTACAGAAAAAGTATGTCAATCCTGCTCTATTAGGTAATAAGCTGAATACAACAAACACAACCTTTGCCTTTCTAAGGATGGTTCAATTTTGCCAGATACACTGGGACCAGGGAAAGTCACCCTGCCTTCTTGAGGTTTTCAGATCAGTAGCAGGTCATGCCCACCCAGAGAAGGGCACTGTCCAGGTGTCCTGGAAGACGGGTTCAAACCCCAGAAAGGTACACAGAATCAACTGCTTCAGTCCAGGTGTCCCTGATCCAGGTTCCCCAAGGTCAAGGAAGCACAGGGCACTTCTGGGTTGGAATTCAGGGAGAGTCAAACTGCTCTCTCTAGAGCTGACAAGTTGAATTCTCCACAGCAGGGGGAATGACATGTAAGTGAAGTCAATGACACAGCATCTGCTGCAGGAACTCAGCTGATAAGGCCTGGCTCTAAACTTACCACAGCAGGTCCACCAGTCCTCCCTGCCTGGCAATGGCAGATTTCACCCTATTCGCAAACTGGACAGCATCTTCATCTGCCTGTAAGAAAGAACAAATGAGACCACTCAGCCCCGGCTTGACGTTACACAGAGCAGGTGCAGATCTGTCTGGGGCAGGCACTCACCTCTCTAGTCATGGGAGGCAGGTACCACACACTGCAGACAATGGCCCAGCTGGTCATCATTCGCAGCAGGTACGTCACCATCCCATATTTGCTGCTGTTCCAGAAGGCATCGCCGAATTGAGGGTCATACTGAAAACAATGGAAAGCTGAAGGTAAGACGTGAGTAGTTTCTCACGTGTGCGAGTCCACAGTGATTGCTCTGAGTGACTCCACTGGGCGTGCTGGTACTGGGGCACTGCTCCCTGACCCTGCATGAGTACTGCGGAAGCCTCTCTCCATGTGGCCAGTTCTGACTGCGAGCAACACTGCTCTCCCCCGAGGGACCTGGCCTCTGCTGCAGATCAGTAAGGAAGGCTCCCCTGACAGCCTGCCTCAAGCAAATGTCTCCCTCTTTGGTTAGTTTCAGGTCTTACTCATAGGTATATAAAGTTTTCAAACATCTTCAAAACCAGGGAGAAAAGGATCATGCACTCCCATGTACCCATTCCCTGATTCAACCACCGCCAACGTTTCCCACTTGCTCCATCTCTCCCCTCCCAGCATCCTGTCATTCATCTAGTGTACCTCCCCCAAATAAAGATATTTTCTTACACAAACACCAAGTTTTAAATATGATTTCTGGTGCCCAGACCAGGGAGGAAACTATTAGAAAGCTTTTGCATTTACACTTTCAACAAAGTCAGTTGTCTGTTCAGGACACGGCTCTGTGCTCACGCTGACAGCCCCGGGAGGTCTCAACCACATAGGCTGCTTCTACCATGAAGCAGGTATCAGATCCTTTCATTTGCCAGTGGCTCTAATGGAGGCAAAAGGCAGCACTTCAGTGGCGTTTTGCAGAAAATGTGGCTGCAGCTGTGACCCACATTCTCACCAAACCAGCAGCTGGAGGGGCAGGTGATCAGGGTGGGTAAGCTCCGGAGGAAGTTGCGCAAGGAGCAACAGGAGGACCTGGGCACTTGAGAATGCCTGGACAAAGTGCCTGGTGCTGCTAGCAAATGTCTGAAGGGATCCTGTACACAAGGCAGTAGGCTGACCTTGTGCAAACACCCAGGACCAGAGTGGAAAAATAAAGGAGCCAGAATTTCAAGAGTTATGCCACACGGCCATGCTGCCAACAACATCAAAAATGCCCTTTTCCTGGGAAAGCCTGAGAAGAAGCCCAGGGCAGGGTCCTGCATGTGAGCATGGGCTGGGGTGGGGTTGAACTCTATGATCTTTTAGGCCTTTCCAGTCTAACTTTTATGATCCACAGTATAAAAATTGGATAATTTTGACAAGACTGTGGCCCTAACTACAAAAATGAAGGTAACTGAGGCTTAATTATAGAAGCTAAGAAATTCAGATTTAACCACAGAAGGCTTAATGAGTTATTATAATACCAACAGAAACAAGGGAAAATAATAAGTTTTTAAAACTAAGCTAATGTGTATGATCAGAAAGAATTTTATTTTATTTTTTTATTATTATTATATATATATTTTTTTTGAGCTAAGAGTCTCGTACTGTCACCCAGGCTGGAGTGCAGTGGCGCTATCTCGGCTCACTGCAAGCTCCGCCTCTTGGATTTATGCCATTCTCCTGCCTCAGCCTCCTGACTAGCTGGGGCTACAGGCACCTGCCACTATGCCCGGCTAATATTTTTGTATTTTTAGTAGAGACGGGGTTTCACCATATTGGCCAGGCTTGTCTCAAACTCCTGGCCTTAAGTGATCCACCTGCCTCAGCCTCCCAAAGTGCTGGGATTACATGCATGAACCACCGCACCTGGTCATGTCGTTATATTTCATAAAGCCTGATATGGACAGAAATTCTGATGTCACAAGAGTGTGAGAACCCTTTGTTTCGGGCTGATTCTCCATTCCACACTGGGCAGTGTGTGTGGACAGAGAAACAAGGCAGAAGCTCAACACAGTGACACACTCCTCACATCAGGTCATGGCGGAATTCCGGTGGGAATATATGAGCCTGGAAATCACTAAGGTTATCCAAGTTTGGTTACCAATAAAGGGTTCACAAAAACTAGTCATCTGTAGACCAGATGTTCTCAGCCATACATGGGCTCTCCTCTGTGGACTGAATGGAAATGTATCTAAAATTTATAAGCATTTTACTTTGCAGAGGAGCAGAAACTCCTCAGGGTTCGTGTTTCAACAGCAGCTAAGAGCACTGCTTCAGAACTGTGGCTGCCACAGTGTGGTCCCAATAGGCACCATCAGTGCCCCCCAGAACATGTTAGAATGGAAATTCAGAAGACCCAGAGGGGTGGCTCAGGCCTGTAATCCCAGCACTTTGAGAGGCCAAGGCAGGCGGATCACTTGAGCCCAGGAGTTCTAGACCAGTCTGGGGTGAAACTCCGTCTCTACAAAAATTAAAAAATTAGCTGGGTGTGGTGGCGTGCACCTATAATCCCAGCTACTTGGGAGGCTGAGACACGAGAATCACCTGAATGTGGGAGGTCGAGGTTGCAGTGAGTCATGATTGTGCCACTGCACTCCAGCCCGGGTGACAGACTGAGACCCTGCCTCAAAAGAAAAAGAACGGGAAGTTCAGAAACCCCGGGTGTGGGGCCCAGTAATCTGCATTTTAACAATCCCTCCAGGCAATGCTAATGCAGCCTAAATTCAAGAGCCACTGTTCTGGAGGGAGCAGTAAGGGCTTCCATTCAGCAGCTTCACGGTCACACTGCAAAGCACTTGTCCTCGTTTTGCCAGAATATAGGATGCAGATGCCACTCCCCACTCCCACACCCAAGGCAGACTCTGCTACCAGACTATGTTCCACTTTCTTGCTATACCCAGACACTGCATCCTCAGGCTCTGGTGAGTCCTAACCTGTCAATCAGAGTCCCCTGCAGGCAATATTCATCTGCCATCCCTGGCCTGGTCCTCTGACTAAATGATGAACAGTGAGTGGCTGGTAAGCATCTGTCTCACCAGGAACAACACCTCTCCAGTGGCACTGGCAAGGTGAAAAGAAAGTCAGAACCAACTCTACAGAATGCTCTGCGGACAACCCACAGTCCCCTATAAAAGAAATTCTAAGCGTGAGCCTGACTCATATCTGCTCACCATTTTACCGAGCTCTCAGGTTGCAGTCTAAATACTTTAACCACACTGAGGATGGCCTGTGTTTTGTAGGTGTCATGATGTGAGGCCTCGTGGATGTGGAGAGGGTAAGAGCAGGGAGGAACAAAGTGCAGACGACTGGCTAATCACATCCTATAGCTCTGGGTGTCTGAAGGGTTAGAGCAGCAGTTCCTAAAGCGTCGACGTAGATTAGATAAACTCCCAGGGTCCATCTCATTGTTAGGAGCTGCTGTAGGTCTAAAAGATGACACGACTAAAAGCAGTGAAGCCGTTTCTCCCACTGCGCTGGAATAAGGACCCCCCCCCTTCTCACAGCTCCCCCAAAATGCAAAAATCCAGCTTGAAACTACACCTCTGTGCCCTGCAATCGGTCACCTTTCCAGGTGGAGGGGCCTACATTCCAGCTAGGTTTATGAAGCAAAGTAAGAAGTGAAGGGCTTGCCATTTCCTGAATAGTGGCGGCAGCAGCATGCAGGCAGGAATCTGGCTGTCCCCCACCCCACACTCCCCAGGCCCTTCTAAGGGGGTGCTGAGTGCTCAGCATCCTCCTCTGGCAGCACTTGACCCACATCAGCCCAGTCCCATGTCACTCTGCTGAGGGCATCAACCACAGACTGGTGACCTCCACCAGGCAAAAGGCAGTACTTCAGTGGCGTTTTGCGGAAAATGTGGCTGCAGCTGTGACCCACATTCTCACCAAACCAGCAGCTGGAGGGGCAGGTGATCAGGGTGGGTAAGCTCCGGAGGAAGTTGCGCAAGGAGCAACAGGAGGACCTGGGCGCTTGAGAACGCCTGGACAAAGTGCCTGCCTGGCACTCCACCTCCTCCTGCTGCGCTCCACTCACAGCAGCCCCAATAATGACAGTGTGTACCATCGGAGGTCTTGTACCTTGATAGCAACAGGGTAAACTGTGGCTCCAATTTCAAAACTTCCCTTTTTGAACATCATCACCGATGTATTATTGATGCAGGTTCCTAAAATGCAGGAGACAATAAAATGCTATTTCTGTTGGCCCTTTACCCCAGATATTAGGTGTTTCTTAAAGACTAAGTACAATAGTCAAAATTCTTCTAATGGTTCCTCCAATAAGATACATCTGTCATCTCCCTAACTTAAAAACAAACACTTAACGAGACAGGCAAGATGGTGCCTCCAATTCTCCTGCTACAGGACCACTTTCCCTGATTCACGCACACAGCCTGGATAAAGCAGAGACGCACAGTGGTCTTAGGAGGACTCCACGAGCTCCATGAAGAGCTGAAACATTACAGAAGAAATTCCTGCATTTGGGGAGTTTACACTATGGCATTCTTAGTTCAAGTTCTGAACTTGCCTGAGTTTTTAGTCCTATTTCCAATCTAAAGGGGACCTAACATTATTCAGTGAAAACAGATAACCCCAACAAGGGCTGAGGGCCTTGGTTCCCACGAAACATCAGCATCACACTCTTGCACTCCTCACAGAAGTGCTTTATGGCAACCAACCCCTTCTTACCTTCTGGGAAGATGAGGATAGGCAGCTTGCTTTTATCTTGCACATGTTCAGTCAGTCTTTCAAAGAGGAAAATAAAATGAAGGATCAGACAACCTTATACACATCATTGTCAAAATATGTTTTTTTTTTTTTTTTTTTTTGGAGATGGAGTCTTGCTCTGTTGCCCAGGCTGGAGTGCAGTGGCCGGATCTCAGCTCACTGCAAGCTCCGCCTTCCGGGTTTACGCCATTCTCCTGCCTCAGCCTCCCGAGTAGCTGGGACTACAGGCGCCCGCCACCTCGCCCGGCTAGTTTTTTGTATTTTTTAGTAGAGACGGAGTTTCACCGTGTTAGCCAGGATGGTCTCGATCTCCTGACCTCGTGATCCGCCCGTCTCGGCCTCCCAAAGTGCTGGGATTACAGGCTTGAGCCACCGCGCCCGGCCCAAAATATGTTTATAAATAACTTATTTGTGACATTAGTTTCGATTATAAGAAGTTAACAAGCATGACCATATCCTTTTAAACCCATAATCTAATGCTCATCAAGAAAAAATGTATATGGATAGAGAAAACCAGGTTACTATTTAATTCACAGAACTGTTCAATTCTGTGTGAACATCGGAGCACCAATGATGCCACTCAACCTGGGGGCCACTTGAAGGAGACGCCTGCCACAAGGCCTGGGCATGGCCCCCTCAATAAACCTGTGGCACTAGACTGTGTAACAGTTGTGAGGCTGGGCCCAGCCCTGCTGGCTCAACGCTCTGTCCCTGAGATGTAGCAAAGTTAGGAGAGGGTTCATCTGTCTCTATGGAAGATAATCTCAACTGTCTTTTCTTATTTGTTATTTTTTGAGACAGGGTATCCCTGTGTTGCCCAGGCTGGAATACAGTGGTGCAATCACAGCTCACTGCAGTCTCACCCTTCCTGGCTCAAGCGATCCTCCTACGTCAGCCTCCCAAGTAGCTGGGACTACAGGAGCATACCACCATGCTTGGCTAATTTTAAATTTTTTGTAGAGATGAGGTCTCCCTATGTTGCTCAGGCTAGTCTTGAACTCCCAGGCTCTCAAAGCACTGGGATTATGGGCCTGAGCCACCATGTGTGGCTTGGTCTCAACTGTCTTGATGTCTCTTTCTGCTGCAAATCTCTTTGCATTACTTACACCAGATTCACCTTCTTAAAGTTTGAAAACAGAGCAGTACTTTGTTCCACTGCCCTAGGTTTCTTTTTATTTGTGATAAATGAATTCATTTTGAGGTTTCAAATAGCAGTAAAAGTTCGTATTTTGTTTATTACAATGGGTACAATGAATAAAAAAAGGTTAAGAAACATTATTAACTTGGTAAATAATACTAGGGTTTCTATACTTTTTTAAAATTTTAAGACAGAGTCTCACTCTGTCACCCAGGCTGGAGTGCAATGGCACGATCTCGGCTCACTGCAACCTCTGCCTCCCTGGTTCAAGCGACTCTCCTGCCTCAGTCTCCCTAGTAGCTGGGATTACAGATGCCCATTACCACACTCAGCTAATTTCTGTATTTTTAGTATTTTGTATTTTTACCATGTTGGTCAGGCTAGTCTCGAACTCCTGACCTCAAGTGATCTGCCCACCTCGGCCTTCCACAGTGCTGGGATCACAGACATGAGCCACCACACCCGGTCACTTTTAAAATCTCATGTTTTAGGAAAAGATTATTATGAAAGCAGTATAGGCTTATGATAGAAGGCACATAACTACACTGTGGAGGGATAACTCCCGGAAACCTTTTCAGCATTCTAACCGGCCAAGCAGAACAGCAGTGTTCTGTCCATTACCTCTTAGCCACCAGGTGGCGATCCTTCACTTCCGAGCGCTCAAACCAGACGTGTGGGCAGGCCTTCACCATGGCTCTCTGAATCACACCCATGAGTCCCCCGTGCACTTGACCCACCTAAGCGAAGGCACAGGACCCATTAGTAGTGAAGCCATCCTCACACAAATCTCCCCACTCTAGGAAGCCCCAGATCTCACAAAATAAGCAGTCCAACCTCTCACCTCTAATGCTTGCTGGTCCAACCTCTTACCTCTAACACTTGCTGGCTGGAGGCTGCTCACTGCCAAGAAACCACTACCAAGACTCCCCAAATCTTAAACTTCTCCTTTTAATCAGTAATACTAGAAATAGGTAATTAAAAACATAACTGAAACCCCTAAGACAAAATACTAAAGTAGTGCAAATCGCTGTGTAAAACTGCCCCTCCCTGGGCAGATTCTCAGATGCTCTAGACACAGTCCTTGCCAGCTCCTCCCTCTCCCCATGCTGGTCTGCCTGACCGCCCTCAGCATCCTCTCCAACCACATTCACCACTCACTCTACCCAGGGTATTTCCTATCACAGTCCCACAGAGCCCCCACAGTGACAGTAAGGTGGTGGCCCACGCATAAAAGTGTTTATGTGAAGGGTCCAGGAGCCTCCTAGACCCTCCTAGACCCTCCTGGCCCTGACCAGTCTAAAGCAGGAAGTCTTGCCTCAAGAATGCACCGGAAAGAGCTCTTACCATGGCATAATAGCCATCGCTGGCCAAGATGATCACATCGATTGGTGAGGTATGATTGGCCACACAGATGCCACCATTTCTTGGTCTGTTTTCCCTGGGTTTAAATGTATGCAAAACAACCAAAATTAGTGTGAAACAGTTCATGTAACACACCTCTCACCTCACACGCTTCATCTGCTCTAACTAAAAGCTCAGAAGTGTCTTCCCCTTTGGGCAAGTAGAGGTGGGTAGTGTTTCCTGCAGTGCCATTTCCCTTCCTATTGATACAAAGCACTCTCACCTGTCATGGTAGGTGATGATGGCTGTCAGTGCTCGCACGCAGATCCGGTAACACATTAAGTGAACATGTTTACTCATGAACTCCTTAAACCTGCAACAACAGGACAAGGATTCTGGGTTTTATTTTACATACAGGAAGACAGAAACAGTTGCTGACTTGAACAGTTCAGCAGTCCTTTATGATGGCAAAGTGCTTTTATAGACATGAGCACGTACAGGAAAGCCCTGTGATGCATGACCACCTTTATGTTCACATATGAGGAAAGAAAGAGGGGACAGGGAGACTCGCTTACATCCACCCAAATCAGTGGGTGGAGAATTCACAGCCTAGAATTCGGCATTGGCAGACCACAGGCGGGCTGAATTCCGTTCCCCCAGTCAACACCCAGTGGCAGGCCCAAGGCCAGAGGCCAACCTCCTCACCCGCCCAGGCAGATGAAAGGTTTCCAAGCCCCAGAATTTCCTGAAGGGAGCAAAATATTCTTCACAAACAGACAAAACCTCCCTACATCTCGTTATCATTTTAAAAACTGTATTGTCTCACCACTTTATCCACACAGTCAACTGCTCAAAACTAAACAACAAGCTGTAAAATCTGTTAACATCTGAGTCTCGGACTCTACATGTTTGTGGCTTCTCCCTTTTGTCTTTAAAACGGGAAGAACATGAGGGCTAAAGGACAAAAAGAACAGTCATAGATCAAAATAAAAAAAAGTAAAAACTTTACTGCTGATGCCATTGTTACCATTGGGTTGTTGTTGTTGTTATTATTATTATTATTATTATTATTATTAGAAACAGAGTCTCGCTCTGTCACCCAGGCTGGAGTATAGTGGTGTGGTGTTGGCTCACTGCAACCTCTGCCTACCAGATTCAAGGATTCTCCTGCCTCAGCTTCCCAAGTAGCTGGGATTACAGGCAGCCGCCACCACACCCGGCTAATTTTTGTATTTTTAGTAGAGACAGGGTTTCGCCATGCTGGCCAGGCTGGTCTTGAACTCCTGACCTCAGGTGATCCGCCCACCTCAGCCTCCCAAAGTGCTGGGATTATAGGCATGAGCCACCACACCTGGCCAGCACTGGGTTATTTAATCCATCTAAGATTCCATGGCTTTGGTTGTGTCCAAAAAAGGGGCCTGGCCTTCGATATCTGAGCACCATTCCCAGAACTAACTGCCCTTTAGGCGTGGACTGCCACATTCTACTCACCTCCCATTTGGCAAGTATCCCACCACAGTTGTGCCCACCACCAGAAGGCTAATTCCTGTGAAAGCCAGCGCTATCCTGTAAGAAGAAGAAAAGTTAGAGCACAGCCAGCAAATCCTTGTACCAAGTACAGAACTGAAGATGTGAAAATCACAGTGGGCATCACAAAAACCACCCCCAAGACCTGCTCACCTGGGATCTGGACCAGAGTTCACCTAGAAATGTGAGCAGGCCTATCAGAACCAGAGATCCTTTTGATTCCAACTGACAGTGAGCCATGCGTCTGGCTCTCAGCCGCCAGCATCTCCTGAGGCCTCGGCAGCTGGAAGGCTGGAAAACCCTAAGCAGGCTGTTCTGCCGCAGGGCTGCTCCCTGCTGCC